CTCTCTCTCTCTCTCTCTCTCTCTCTCTCTCTCTCTCTCTCTCTCTCTCTCTCTCTCTCTCACACATTGTTATAAATTTCAGATACAGCTCGAACAAAAGACAATGCGTTCTTTTAGCACAGCAGTGGGAACAGCATCAGGTGTTGGCTTCCTAGCTGCAGTTGGTGTTTGTTTGCTCTCTCTCTCTCTCTCTCTCTCTCTCTCTCTCTCTCTCTCTCTCTCTCTCTCTCTCTCTCTCTCTCTCTCTCTCTCTCTCTTTCTCTCTCTTTCTCTGTCTCTGTCTGTCGTATACCTCACTTGTTCTCATTTTATTGTATTAACTCTTCAAAGACGTAGAAAAAAATATGTCCGATCAGCAAAGGACCAAAGGCAATGCTGCCTTTCGAACTAACGTATACAAATTAGAACGCATTTGAATATTCCATAGTGTTCATGTTATTCTAGAAAAATTGAAAGAAAACGAGACACTGTGTAGACCCAGAGCAACTTAATTGGAGGGCTTAAACAGATGGGAGGTGGGGAAAAATAAAGGATAATGTAGATTTTTTAAGAGCATCGAAGTACAGTAATGATTGAAGAACCATGATCGCTGATGTCTGTCCCTGATCTGGCACTTGACGACTGTCCATTTTTTTGCCTGCCCTTATAAGTTTATGATGAAGTAAACAGAAGTGAAAAATTTATAATCACGAAGAAGTTATTCCCCGAAACAGCGATTCTTCAAGCATTGTCAAAGCGCGTCCTCAATTAGTTAATATACTTTCTGTGAATGAGAGGTAGATGGTTGCTTTTTTCTGATTCAAACCAGGCCAGATAGCTGAGAATACCGAGTGCGGCCCGCATTGTTATTTTGTGCAATACAATACGTGTATGTGTTGAGTAAGTCGCAGCTGTCTACCTCAACTTGCATGTGGCAATTGTAGTCAGGTTAAGGCTAGGGTTAGGGTTAATGTTAGCGTTAGGCTTTAGATTGTGGTTAGGGTTTGGATAAGGCTTAGGATTAGAGTTAGGGTTTAGGTTTGGTTTAGGGTTAGGTTTAGGGTTAGGGTTAGGGATAGCGATAGGGTTAGGGTTAGTGTTAGGGTTAAGGTTAAGGTTCGGGTTAGTAAGGATAGGGTCAGGTTTAGGGTTATGGTTAGGTTAAGGTTAGGGCAGGCGCGGTTCGTCCATAGAGCACGGTAGTGCAGTGCCGCCCAAAATGTTTTAATGTTTTATTACGTAAAACACCTATAATAATAAAATAAAAGCCAAATATTATATCAAAACACGTTTCTCGCTGGCGCTGTAACTGTCATTTCTGTGTCTATAGCGCCGTAAAACATCTACTAAGCCATACCAAAGTTCATGTGCAGTATCTAAACCTAGCAGGATATTCAACAGTGGAAATCTGACCTATAAATCCCTCTTTGGGATAACCCAAGCGATGACGACACTCGTAGAGAGTTTGGCGGTACATCACGGCTTACTAGATTATCTAAATCTAGATCTCTACCTAAAGATAAAGGTGAGAGAGAACGTTGGATGAAAGCAATCCCACTCGACAATATACTTGATACTGGAAATGTTGTTTCTATTAAACATTTTCCAGATGGATTTGAAACTATTTCTATCAAAGGAAGATTAAGACCAAAAAAACCTCCATCGCTATTTTCTAATTTGCAGAAAAAGTTTAATTCCAACACCAGTGCCCTTAGTAAGAACAACATGTAGATCTAGAGCTAGATCTAGATGTAGAAAGTTATTTAGTCAGATCAGTTGAAAGTGACCAGTTAGAAGAATATTCACAGAAAGACATGGTTTCTTTCAATTCATTGTGTTCATTTGTAGGAGCCAGTGTGTGACAAGATAGGCTATGCAGAAACTCTTTGAGTGAAATATTTATGGACATCTCACAGTATTATGGTTTTGAGATGAGACAATACAACTGCTTTGTCATGAGCAATATTTTGCTAAACAATTTCTGCAAGATATCCAATCCACCATCTGCGAAAGAATCTAAACAGAAAGTCCTAAAGCTGTCTTCATAAACTAAGTAAGTTAAACCTTTTTTCTAATATTTACACTGTAATGTTTGTGAACGCATATATTATGTGTGTCTATCTGGACTATGTCTCTATGTGTGTATACATGCTTACATGTAGGTGTGTATTACCCATACTTGGCAATGTTTCTACTGTTAGGCCTATAAATTATTCCCTGCCAGCATAATGAACGAGTATATTTTTGTAGCACATAGAGCATGGATTGCGTTTTCTGTGGATATGTGCTATAAAATGCTATCTTTATTCTTCTTTCTCTCATTATTTTCTGTGCCCATTGCCAATGGGAAGTGAAGCTCTTTTACCGCACCTATAACCAGGAATGAGACAAGAACTAGAGTCTAGATCTAGAAATCTAGTTATCATAAATCCAATTAAGATAATGTTTGTAGTTGTATAATAAGCACAGTCTTATTTGATTTCCCTTTCGGTGATCTGATTGCGCTGCCGTCCTATTGTCTCGCGTAGGCTACTGTGACCTCGTTTTCAACTCGCCTCCACATTTTCAGACTACGTGCCCGCTGGGGAGACCTGGCTATCTAGTAAGCCGTGCGGTACATCTCAAATGTGACCTGCCGAAGAGTGCCGAAACATAGCCCACAGTAGGCAATCTAAAAATAAACGCCATAGACTGTGCACTATTCTATGCCAAAGTTATGTGAGCCTCGGAGCAATCCAGCGGAGTGCTCAAGTAAATTGTGATTGGTTCTTTGCCGCTATTTTAAGTGACACTGTGACCGTGAACCTGAGAGAGGTGAACGTGACATACTTGAGTCATCGTCCTATGAGTTGTGCTTTTGAAAGGTTTTGTAGTGGAGTGGTGAAAGGTATTACTCGATTGTTCAGTTCTAATGCAGCATGAATGAAATTGACGTTTAGCTAACAAACAGATTTAGTTCTAGAGTCAAAGCCACAAGTAAAAAGAATGAAAATAGAATCACAAGTTTCTCCCTCACCTACCCAAAGATCCTAAAATTATACACCGTCTCATTTACTATGCCCTTGACTATCTTCAACCTTAGATAGCTGAATTGTGCACGCCCACTTTTTAGACCCATGAGCCGCACCTGGGTTAGGGTTAGGCTGGGGTTAGTAGCGATAGAGTTAGGTTTAGGGTAAGGGTTAGGGTAAGGGTTCGGGTTAGAGTTAGGATAACGGTAAGGATTATGGTTTGGATTATGTTTAGGGTTAATGATAGGTTTAGGATTAGGTTAGAGTTAGTTTAGTTAGGATTCGGGTTAGGGTTAGGGTTATGTTTAGGTTTGGGTTAGATTTAGGTTTAAGGCTAGGATTAGGGTTAAAGTAAGAGTTAGAGTTAGGCTAGGGTTCGGCTTGGGTTAGGGTTAGGGTAAGGATTAGTGCTATGTTTAGGGATTTGACATTTTTTGGGTTCCATTTAGTTGCTTTATTGACTTTTTTTTTCATTTCTGACATACATTTGCCCCCAAATGTAATTATAATACGACCTGTATTATTATTTTTCAAAACTTGATTGATCTTCTGATCCATGCTCCGAAAATGCAAATTAAAATGTACATTTACTGCTTCGAAAAAAGAAAAAAGTTCTTACTTTTTTCTGTTTTCTTTTTATTTAGAAAGACCCCTTAATGTGACCATCTATTACAACAAAAAGGGGAAAG